AGTATTCTCTTTACAAAACATTTTGACTTGTATTATTTTGTGAAAAGGGGAAAAAAAAAAGGGTTCCCCCCCCCCCCCCCCCATGCTTTGCTTTTAAAACTGAACACAGATTAATTAGTACAAGCAGGGACAGATTCAGGATTATTAGAAGGGGGGTCTGCGGATGCAAAGCTGACCCCCTCCCCATGGCGTGGGGTTCGGTTTAGAACAATGATTAAACTAGTCCAAATTTTAATTTTAAGAGGGGACAATTGGTGTGATTTTTTTTCAGAAATAAAAGGGGGGATCAGGATCCCCCTGACACACACACACACACACACACACACACACACACACACACACACACACACACCCTAAACCCGCCACTGACAAGCCACATCACAGACAACCCCAGAGCCTCACCTTGCCTTGTTTCTTAGAGCTCTGTCCTGAGGCTCTCATTTTACAGTGCTGCAAGGCATCATTTACAACATCTGAGATGAACTTTTGTGCCGATAGCGAGATCAGACGTACTCTGAAACATTAACACTTTATCAGCTATCAGACAGTTGCAATTTTTTAAGAAAATACAATTTACTATTTTCTCTCCATCTACAAGTGAACATTTTTTTTATGAATTCAAGCTCTGCACTAATAAAAATAAAATAAAATAAAATAAAAAAACTGAATGTTTCACGATTCTTTCAAGAAACTCTTTGCGCCTTTATTATTTGTCCCAGTATTTTTTTTTTTTATTAATATCACCATTTTTCTTTACTTTTCCAATTTGGATAAACATGGTAAAGTATCAGCAGTGAATTAATTCTGTACAATGCTAATGAAAAACATTTTAATGCCAATTAGATGCCTTTCAGATGCTAATATATATGGATTATTTACCAAGAAAACCAGGATAATTTATGGCAACAAGCAACACACAAATTATTTCATAAGTGAGTCTAGTAAAAAAAAAAGTTGTTACATACATTCTAGGGTCTGATGCCTCAAAGCCTGCCTTGTTGAGGTAGAAGGCACTCACTGAGTCTGGGATCTGAAAATAACAGACATTGGGTGCATTCCCAGAGATTTTTATCGATCCAGAGATTTAGATTTAGATCGACCTAACTCCCTGGGGGTTCACACTAAATTGCAGTCAGCCGAGCGGGCACCATAGTTAATTACCCCCTTACAGCTTTAAGTAGGCAGGACAGACACTTAAGCCGGCTAAGCTGACAGTAATCTAGTGAGACTCCCCACAGGGATAGATCGATTTAAAATCTATGGGAATGGGGTCATTGTCAACAAACTTCAAGTTCCATGTTTTCACTTCACTTCCTTTCATTTCTGCTGTCACTCCTCTACGTTGCACAGGACTGAGGATTTTTTTTCACAAGAGTTGCACAGCAGAAGGCAAGGATTTGAGGCCATGGCATTTTTGAATATCTAACAGCACATTTACATTATGACAAATCATTAAGGAAAGTGCAACCCTTATTTGCTACATACAGCTTTTGTGAATATATAACAACTTTAATTATTCTAAATTGGCTTGAACATATTGTCATAGGTATAAATGGAATCTAGATACATATAATCAGTAAATGTGTTCAGCTCAGTTGTTTTTTCTGTAGAGTTTCATATATGTGACCCAAGTATGAAAGATTTATGAAAACAATTTTTGCTACAAATCTGTTAATCCCCTTACCACCTTAAATGAAGTAGCAGAATGTGTGAAAAAAAAAAATTAAGTAATGAAATGTCCTCACATATATTTCAGCCTCTGTAAGTTCTAATCAGAAGGTTGGATATGTAGCTCTCTTATGTAGCAATCGGGAATGAAAAGTTAGACTGGGTTCCCACAGATTTAGATCGATCCATCTGGATTGACCTAACTCCCTGGGGGTTCACGCTAAATTGCTGTCAGTCGAGCGTGCACCATAGTTAATTACCCCCTTACAGCTTTTAGTAGGCGGGACATACATTTAAGCCGGCTAAACTGACAGCAATCTAGTGAGACTCCCCATGGGGATAGATCGATCTAAAATCTGTGGGAATGCAGTCTTAGACATATGAAAAAGGACCACAATGGGAAGTTAGACATAAGATACATGATATGAGCAAGATCCCTTTCAACTGGCTGTCAATGCAGTGTTGTCTAGAAGAATGAGGGCAGTGGTAGATTAGATTTAACAAAGGATATTAAAGAGAGAGAATGAGCAGATATGAGAGAAGAATTAAGTAGAAACATAATATACCAGTATATCCTAGCTAGCTGGCCAGTCCAAATAATAACAAATGAAAATCTTTATCATTAAATTTTCACAGCTCATATTTGTTACATTTCTGTAGATCCCCTTACCACTGTTGGTGTGTACTCCTCTAAATGCATGGTGAAGTCGCTGAGCGGTACCCCCGCTGTTTTCACCTCTGGTGTCCCAGGTCTACCCCCTCCGCCTGCAGCGCCACCTGTGGTATTACCTGACATTGTGGTATTACAGTCACCTTGGGCTTTCAAACATGCTACCTGTAACGAAATTAAGGGTACACCTTGTATCAGTTGTCTACTTTACGTGCTGCATATTTAGAGGAGTAATTAAATCAGTTCGTAAGACTGCAAAGTAGGAAAATCAGGCCACCTACTACTGTAATATGTACAAAGTAAAGCTGTAATCTGCCGACATTGTCAATGGCAACATCAATTTAATGCATGTTTATTCACAGTATTTAGTTGATCTTAACGATAAATCACACACAGGGGTGATCATCATGCTACAAATGACAGTTGCACATTATTAGCTTATCCCAGTTTTGTTGCATTAGATCTAAACTAGTGTTTTTAAAATCGTCTTTACACATTTACCTTTCTGTTACGTTCTTGACCGGAAGTGCTTTTCATTTTTCCAAGAGGCTACAGTCCCTTATCCAGGTATTAACGTTTGACAAAAATACCTTTAAATCGTCGGCAAATTCCATATATGGTATAAACTGAATTTAAAAATTGACAGCTTTTAGCAAAATAATTCCAAGCATTTCCAGGAATGGTGCTGCATAGAGTTAATTATCGTAAGAGCTTTTCTTTCAAAACAGGTGGCGCCATCTGTGTATAAATTCAAAGAAAGCGAAAGGAAAATTCGCAATCATGAGAAGTGAAAGTAAAAGACGGGTGTGGTAAGTAAGTATCACCTTGGCAAGAAACTGTCTGTAGACAAGAGTTCATCTCAAATTAATAGATATTCTAAGCAAAAATATCAGATACTAACGTTAATATATCGGTTATCAATTATATCAGTTATCAGTTTGGCGTTAAAACTGTTAAATTTAACTTCCTGCGTGGTAGGTATCGGTTATCAGTATGACTTGTTTACTTCCTGGTTTAGTTTGCTGCAGTTTTTTGCCTTACATGCACCGTGCGTGAGCATGCATGTAAGGCCGAAAACTAAGACAAGGTATCGTGCGCTTTGTTTTGTTCATTTATTTCAGTAATTATTAATATTAAATTAATAGCGTTAAGTGCAATAAATTGAAATAAAACGATTATACGGCCACGATTGTATACTGTACAAAGAAATATATGTTTAAAGACTTGTGAAGAGTCATTTGTCTATAGCTACTATTATTTGTCTGGTCTTACCAGGCAGTATTTCGTCTGCTTGCAGTCAGACTTCATCAGGTAATGCGATTGTGATAGATGTGACAGCCTATCACCCCCTCTGGTGTGCTATTTGGTGAGATCCTGGCCCCCCCCCCCCCCTTCGATTCCTGGTCCTCTCTTGAAATTAGAATTTTAACTAGTTGAAAAATCGCACCAAATGACACCGTTTGCCCTCTAAAATACCAAAATTTTCTTTGCATATATATATATATATATATATATATATATATATATATATATATATATTGGGACAATGGTCCCAATATATATATGACAATGGTCAAATGGTAAATTCATTTGTTTATTTGTAGGTGATACTTCAGTTGAGAAATGGCAGTTTCTTGGTTATCGTCAAGTGGATCTCAATTTAATTTTGAATGGTTATTGGTCACTGTAATTCTTTTGGCAGCAGGTAAGTCAAGACAACTAAATTTATACTCATTGTGGGATGTCACATTTATAGAATTAATTTTATGGAACCCAGATTCACATAAAGCTTCACAGAGTATATAGACAGCTTGAGTTGGAAAGCCAGCCTAGCTTTTTGCATTCTTTTTCAGGGGTTTTCTTTTTCTTTTTTTTTTTAAGTGTGGGTCTTTGAACTCCCACTAGTATGAAGCTGTAAAGAAAGTTAAACTGTTAAGTAATCATTGAATGCACTTACTCCAGTACAGTACCAGGATGCTCTATACTATGTTATCTACTTTTCTTTCCTTTATCTTCAGATGAAGAAGCTTTACCATATCCACAACCAGGGGATGTTATGATGATTAGAAGTTATTTGCCTAAATCCTGGGAGACACCAAAATCTGGTAAATTAGGACAAAAAAAGAAAATATTTATTCTAAAAAATTAAAATATATATATAAACAAGGCAGCAAGGCTGTCAAATGTACAGACAAAATGCAGAAAATAAAAATGCACAAAATAGGCTGTCAATTCTGATGCAAAAATGCTTAACTGCAATTTCAAAATCAAAATTTAATTATGCTCAACAGTTAGTGTTAGTAATATGTGTAACACATAGGCCGATTTAGTCCGTCTTCTGGAAGAAGGTCAGATTTTGAAGTTTACATTGTCACCCATCTAATGTTTTCTGTTGGAAAACGGTCAAAAATGAAGGTGGATCAAAAAAGATAATTTGGGAGAATGTCAGAAAATATCTCTGGATCCGCCCCTGTAACAAGCATAAGGCTTCAGGCCCATTGGAGTTTAAGTTCACACTTTGAAAATGCCAGAACAAGAAAAATGAAAATTCCTCACACAAAATTGCACAAATTCAATAATAAATGATAACCCAATTAAGCTGGCTTTCTAATTTGAACTGCATGACATTCCTAAAAATCATACTTGTCAGTTAAGAATAATAATAAGTAACACAGTTTACTTTTCATAACGTTGGTAGTAGCAGTGCAAAAAGATTGTCTGTACATAATTACAGAATGATTATCATCAATTTTTTATTATTGACTATAAATAGCATGGACATGAAGAAAATTTGATTACCATTTGGCTTCATGTCCATGGGAGCTCCAAGTCCCATACTGAATATGCCAACTTGATAAAAATGAATGTTTCACTAAAATGTATAATTTCCAGAAAAAGAAGTCTAATACTCAGGCTGCATTTTAGTCCTGTGTTTCTTTTTTGAAAGTTTGACAATCGTAAGTAACATGGTTTTCCCATAATGGTCATCATGGCAGCAGCACCCAAAATTGTGTTTTCTTCTATTTTGATGCAATATTACATAATGCTTAACAGCATAATGACCATCAATTTTAATTATAAAATATACTTATCATGGATTTTTAGGAAATGTGACTAGCATGGGTCTTCAAGCCCATGGAGGTTCTAAGTCACACCTTGAAAATGCCAATATGTGAAAAATTAAAATTTTACAAAAAATTGTTTTACTGCCAGTAAAATTTACCAAACAGACTGCATTGCCTACTGAAGCTGGGTTTTAGGCCCATGTTTCTTTCCTGTAAGTTTGAGAACATTATGTGACATTGTTTTCCTTAAATGGTCATCATGGGAGCAGTGCCCAAAATTGGGGTTTCTTCAAACTTTGATGCAATATTTGTTTAACAGCATAATGACCATCAATTTTTAATAATAAAGTATTAGTATTATGGATATTCAAAAAATGTGACTAGCAAAGGTCTTTGGGCCCATGCATGGAGCTTCAAATTAGTCACAGCTTGAAAGTGCCAAAATGTAAACAAGACAAAACTGTTCTGAAATGGTTTTTACTTTTCATTTTTAGCAATATTTTAACACACTGTAAATCATAATTAACAGTTGGTCATTTTTATATGATCAACTAAGAAAATTGATGAGATGGGAAAAATATCAAAAGAACAGTGTTAAATGTCCAATTTCCTCCATTCTGAGAGTCTGAACATAGTGAATGATTGAATCTGACAAAATACAATGATATGAGTTTATTTCCATTTTGAATCTTTATTTCATAATACATGATAAGAAGTTTACCATCATTTTTACATAATCAACTAACAATGTTGTAAAGATGCAGGAAATGTCACACACTTTGACATATCTTATTAGTTAAATAATGAGACTGTTAACATGCCTAAGAATTGAATCTGAGGAAATGTGAAAAAACAGCATATAATATAATGGCCCGATTATGCTGATTTTCGGACTCAACCTGCATTTTATTAAGATTGACCACTCCTGTGAGTTTAATGACAATTGGCCAATTTTTTTTCTTATATTGTGTTTACAGTGTTGCATATATGCTGAAAAGTGAAAAAAAACAGTTTAACTACTAAAATAGTGACCCGATCATGCTCATTTTCAAACTTGGACTGCGTTTTTTTAAAGATTACTTCTTTGAGTTTCATGACATCAGGCCTATCGTTTTTCCTTGAAATGTGTTTACAGTGTTGCATATATGCTAAAAAGTTAAAAAACAGCATAATTTCTACAATAATAGCCCAATCATGCTGATTTTCGAACTTGGCTGCATTTTATGAATATTCATCAGCTCTGTAAATATAAAGTCAAGAAGTAAAACTGTCTTCCACTTATCGTGTTTAAGCTGAAAGTGCACTGCGATGGCGACGAAAGACCCAGGTGATGGCAATTCGTACAGACACACCCTACATATATCAGACCAGCTGTGTCGATCTGTACACAAAAATTAAAAATTGTGTGGTAGGAAGTGAAGATCATTAACCTAGATATCCTAATATTAATATCTATTGAATGATTTGCATGGCAAGGAATGAATGTCATATGGCCATGTTTTAGGATCTTTATGATAAAGTTTAAGTGACATGTGCATGTGCAAAACAAAGAATATTGTGACTTGAAAGCTAACACAAGGATGAATAAGTTGCTGTAAATGTGATGGAGTTATGTTAACGATGTTGACATTTTACTGTACCCTGTTATAGATAGATAGACAGGTACGTGGAGGTGACCGTGACTTTCTTGTATATATATATATATATATATATATATATATATATTTGTATAACTAAACCTTGGAAATCCTTACTTAAAGGCCATACATATACACCCTACATATATTTAGCCATCAAACACATATCCTAGTACTGCTAAACACATCCAGGCTAAAAGCGTGTAACAAGCTTAGGAGCTAAATGCGTTGAAAAAATGGGACAAAGCAGGCACTTAGATGTTTTTACAGTGTACGTTATAATTTGTATATTATAATTGTATAATTTGTATTATATAATTATATATTTGTAGGTTGTAATTGTGTACCTGTGTTTTTGTATAAAAAATAAAAACATTTCAGGTCATTGTAATGTCTTTTCATGCAAGAATGATGTCTAACAACTGGGGTTGATACAATGTTGTTAGCTAACGTTGTTATCTGACATTGATACAACATTGTTATCTGATGTTGATACAACTTTCAAATCCAACGTTAATCCAACGTCTTGTCAACGTTGAATTCAACATTGTTTCAACGTTGAAACAACATGATTTTTCCCGCTGGGCTATGAAAGGAAAACTGTTTTCAAATTACTTATTATTTTCTTACTTACAAGAAAGATTCTTAGGAATGGCATACAGCTCATATTGGAAAGCCAGCTTGATTGGATCATTTTCTGGATTTATGCAGTTTGTGAAATTTTTATCTTTCTTATTCTGGCATTTTTAGTGTGTGAATTTGAACTCTCATTGGCCTGAAGCCATATGATAGTTACATGTACAAATTTTTACAGTTCAAGTTGCCTGTTGTGCATGATCAACATTTGGTGTTGATTTTGCTGTCAAGCATAAATTAATGTTGTCAA